AATGAAGTAGGGCCTGAAAAACAATGAAAAGAGCAATGAAATTAAGAGTTAGTGTTTTTGGAAGTATAAGCAAAATAACCAAACCTTTAGCTAGACAAAGAAAAGAAGAGAGAATACTCAAATACATAAAATCAGAGATGAAAAAGGAGAGATTAAAACTGATACCATAGAAATACCAAGGATCATAAGAGACTATTATTAATAACTATACACTAACAAATTGGAAAATCTAGAACAAATGGATAAATTCCTGGACACCTACAGCTTACCAAGACTGAGTCATGAAGGAATAGAAAACCTGAACAGATGAATAATGAGTAACGAGATCAAAGCCATACTAATAATTCCGCCATCAAAGAAAAGCCCAGGACCTGACTGTGTCACTGCTAAATTCTACCAAACATTTAAAGAAGAACCAATACTCATTTTACTCAACTATTCCAAAAAACCAAAGAGGAGGGCATACTTCCAAACTCATGTACAAGGCTAGCATTACCCTGATTGTGAAACCAGACAAGGACATAACAAAAGAAGAAAACTACAGGCCAATATCCCCAAAGAACATTGATGCAAAAATCTTCAACAAAATACTAGCAAACTGCATTCAACAGCATATTAAAAAGACCATTCAGCATTACCAAGCAGGATTCATCCCCAGGATGAAAGGATGATTTAATATATGAAAATCAATAAACACATCACATTAACAGAACCAAGGATAAAAACCATATGATAATTTTAATAGATGCTTAAAAGTGTTTGATAAAATTCAACATCCCTTCATGAAAAAAACCCTCAGCAAAATGGGTGTAGAAGGAGCATACCTCAATACAGTAAAGGCCATATATGACAAACCTACAGCAGACATCAGTTGAATGTGGAAGAGTTGAAAGCTTTTCTTTTCAGATTTAGAACAAGATAAGGATGCTCACTTTCTACAGTTTTATTCAAGAGAGTACTGGAATTCCTAGCCAGTGCCATCAGGCAAAAGAAAGAAGTAAAGGACATCCACATTGGAAAGGAGGAAGTTGACAATTTTCCCTGTTTGTAGATGACATGATCACATATCTCGAAAACCCTGGAGACCCCACCAAAAAACTGTTGGAACTAATGAATAAATTTGTTAACATTTCAGGATAAAAAATCAACATACAAAAATCGGTAGCATTTCTACATGCCAATAGCAAACTATCTGAAAAAGAAGTCAAGGAAGCAGTATCATTCACAATAGTTACAGAAAAATAAAATACTTAGGAATAAACCTAATTATAAATTACAATAATTCATCCACAGACTTTTTTGAATTGCTATTATATGAAAACATCATATATGAATAAAATGAAGCTTTTTTTTTCTTTTTTTGTAGTACTTACATCTTCTATTTATTTTTCTCATCTTATTGCACTGAATGTGACCTCAAGTACAATGTGAAATAGTTGTGGTGAGAGCTGGTATTTTGTCTTTTTTCCTCATTTATACAGAAAAGATTTAAATATATTACTATTATGTGTTATACATGCTGTATGTTTGAGAAAAGCTAACTTTCAGCTTTTTAAAACCCCATTTTGTTAAGAGGACAAAATGGATTGTGGATTGTGGAATATGAGTTGAATTGTATCATATATTTTTTCTTGCATCTATTTTTTTTTTTTCTTTTTTGGATTTCAAATAAAGTGTTTATTTTTTTTTTATTTTATTTTATTTTTTTAAATTTATTTATTATTATTATACTTTAAGTTGTAGGGTACATGTGCATAACGTGCAGTTTTCTTACATATGTATACTTGTGCCATGTTGCTGTGCTGCACCCATCAACTCGTCATTTACATCAGGTATAACTCCCAATACAATCCCTCCCCCCTCCCCCCTCCCCATGATAGGCCCCAGTGTGTGATGTTCCCCTTCCTGAGTCCGAGTGATCTCATTGTTCAGTTCCCACCTATGAGTGAGAACATGCGGTGTTTGGTTTTCTGTTCTTGTGATAGTTTGCTAAGAATGATGGATTCCAGCTGCATCCAAGTTCCTACAAAGGACTCAAACTCATCCTTTTTTATGGCTGCATAGTATTCCATGGTGTATATGTGCCACATTTTCTTAATCCAATCTGTCACTGATGGACATTTGGGTTGATTCCAAGTCTTTGCTATTGTGAATAGTGCTGCAATAAACATACGTGTGCATGTGTCTTTATAGCAGCATAATTTATAATCCTTTGGGTATATACCCAGTAATGGGATGGCTGGGTCATATGGTACATCTAGTTCTAGATCCTTGAGGAATCGCCATACTGTTTTCCATAATGGTTGAACTAGCTTACAATCCCACCAACAGTGTAAAAGTGTTCCTATTTCTCCACATCCTCTCCAGCACCTGTTGTTTCCTGACTTTTTAATGATTGCCATTCTAACTGGTGTGAGATGGTATCTCATTGTGGTTTTGATTTGCATTTCTCTGATGGCCAGTGATGATGAGCATTTTTTCATGTGTCTGTTGGCTGTATGAATGTCTTCTTTTGAGAAATGTCTGTTCATGTCCTTTGCCCACTTTTTGATGGGGTTGTTTGTTTTTTTCTTGTAAATTTGTTGGAGTTCTTTGTAGGTTCTGGATATTAGCCCTTTGTCAGATGAGTAGATTGCAAAAATTTTCTCCCATTCTGTAGGTTGCCTGTTCACTCTGATGGTAGTGTCTTTTGCTGTGCAGAAGCTCTTTAGTTTAATGAGATCCCATTTGTCAATTTTGGCTTTTGCTGCCGTTGCTTTTGGTGTTTTAGACATGAAATCTTTGCCCATGCCTATGTCCTGAATGGTACTACCTAGGTTTTCCTCTAGGATTTTTATGGTATTAGGTCTAACATTTAAGTCTCTAATCCATCTTGAATTAATTTTCGTATAAGGAGTAAGGAAAGGATCCAGTTTCAGCTTTCTACTTATGGCTAGCCAATTTTCCCACCACCATTTATTAAATAGGGAATCCTTTCCCCATTTCTTGTTTCTCTCAGGTTTGTCAAAGATCAAATGGCTGTAGATGTGTGGTATTATTTCTGAGGACTCTGTTCTGTTCCATTGGTCTATATCTCTGTTTTGGTACCAGTACCATGCTGTTTTGGTGACTGTAGCCTTGTAGTATAGTTTGAAGTCAGGTAGCGTGATGCCTCCAGCTTTGTTCTTTTGACTTAGGATTGTCTTGGAGATGCGGGCTCTTTTTTGGTTCCATATGAACTTTAAAGCAGTTTTTTCCAATTCTGTGAAGAAACTCATTGGTAGCTTGATGGGGATGGCATTGAATCTATAAATTACCTTGGGCAGTATGGCCATTTTCACGATATTGATTCTTCCTATCCATGAGCATGGTATGTTCTTCCATTTGTTTGTGTCCTCTTTGATTTCACTGAGCAGTGGTTTGTAGTTCTCCTTGAAGAGGTCCTTTACATCCCTTGTAAGTTGGATTCCTAGGTATTTGATTCTCTTTGAAGCAATTGTGAATGGAAGTTCATTCCTGATTTGGCTCTCTGTTTGTCTGTTACTGGTGTATAAGAATGCTTGTGATTTTTGCACATTAATTTTGTATCCTGAGACTTTGCTGAAGTTGCTTATCAGCTTAAGGAGATTTTGGGCTGAGACAATGGGGTTTTCTAAATATACAATCATGTCATCTGCAAACAGGGACAGTTTGACTTCTTCTTTTCCTAACTGAATACCCTTGATTTCTTTCTCTTGCCTGATTGCCCTAGCCAGAACTTCCAACACTATGTTGAATAGGAGTGGTGAGAGAGGGCATCCCTGTCTTGTGCCAGTTTTCAAAGGGAATTTTTCCAGTTTTTGCCCATTCAGTATGATATTGGCTGTGGGTTTGTCATAGATAGCTCTTATTATTTTGATGTACGTTCCATCAATACCGAATTTATTGAGCGTTTTTAGCATGAAGGGCTGTTGAATTTTGTCAAAAGCCTTTTCTGCATCTATTGAGATAATCATGTGGTTCTTGTCTTTGGTTCTGTTTATATGCTGGATTATGTTTATTGATTTGCGAATGTTGAACCAGCCTTGCATCCCAGGGATGAATCTTGCATCTATTAAGATAATCATATGATGAGTGTCTATTTTTTTGTTAATATGGTGACTTCAATTATTGGATGTTTCATCAATCTTGCCTTCTTGGGAAAACTCAACTTGGTCATGATATGTATTCTTCTGCATGTTATAATAATTATATTACTAATATTTTACTTTGAATTGGTACATTAATATTTATGAATGAGATATGCTTGTCATAACTTTTTTGCAGTTTTTTTTAATCAGTTTTGGGGTATAGATGTGGTTCTAATCTCAGAAAGGGAGATGGTGAGTATCCCCTTATTTTGTATACTCTTGAAGAGTTTTGCAAGCTAGGAATGATTTTTTTTTCCCCAGACAGGGTCTCACTCTGTCACCCAGGCTGGAGTGCACTGGCACGATCACTGCTCATAGCAGTCTCAACCACTCAGGCTCAGGTGATCCTCCCACCTCAGCCTCCTGAGTAGCTGGGACCACAGTTGCATGTTATCATGCCAGGCTAATTTTTGCACTTTTTATAAAAATGGGGTTTTGCTCTGTTGCTCAGGGTGGTTTTGATGTCCTGGGCTCAAGCGATCTGCCAGCCTTGGCCTCCCAAAGTAAATACTGGGATTACAGGCAGGAGCCACTGTACCCATCTCCCTCCCCTCCCCTCCCCTCCCCTTCCCTCCTTCCCTACTTCCTTTTCTTTTTTAAAAATAATTTTAAAATTTACTTTGTCTCTAGGAGATGATCTTTCTTTTTAAATTTTAACGTAGTACCCAATAAATAGCTTTTCAACCCACACCTTCTCCCCCTCTTCCCCCTCTAGTAGTCCCCAGTGTCTATTTTTCCCACCTTTATGTCCCTGGATGCTCAACGTTTAGCTCCTACTTATAAGTGAGAACATTCAGTATTTGTTTTCTGTTCCTGTGTTAATTCGTTGAGGATTATGCTTGAATTACTTACAGAACACACTGTTGTAGCCATCTGGACCTGAAATTTTCTTCAAGGAAAAATTTTGGCTACTGATTTAACTTTTTCAATGGTTATATGTTTATTTGGATTTTCTATTACTCTCTTTTTTTTTTTTTGGAGATGGAGTTTCTCTCTTTTTGCCCAGGCTGGAGTGCAATGGCGTGATCTTGGTTCACTGCAACCTCCACCTCCCAGGTTCAAGTGATTCTTCTGCCTCAGCCTCCTGAATAGCTGGAATTATAGGCACACACCACCATGCCTGGCTAATTTTGTATTTTTAGTGGAGATGGGTTTCACCATGTTGGCCAGGCTGGTCTTGAACTCTTGACCTCAGGTGATTTGCCTGCCTTCACCTCCCAAAGTGCCGGGATCACAGGCATGAACCACCGTGCCTGTCCCCGATTCTCTATTACTTTTAAAATTAGTTTTGATGTGTTATATTTTTCTAGAAATGTGTCTATTAATCTAAATTTTAAAACTTATTTGTATATAACATTATTTATAATATTCTCTTTAATATCAGAGGTGATGTTGCTTTTTAAATTCCTGTTATTGATATTTTACCCACATAACCATTTTTACCAAATGAATGTAAATTATATTTTCAAAAAAAATCTGTTGTTTTTGTTGGTCTTTTCTATTGTGTGTTTTATTCCATTTTGTTATGTTTTGCTCTCATCTGTTTTACTTCCTTTCTTTTACCCTGCTTGGATTGATGTTGCTGTTCTTTTAATTTCTTAAGATAGATACTTAGCTTATGATTTTGCAGTATTTTTTTTTCTAACCTTTGCATGTAAGGTTATATATTTCTTGTAAACAGTGTTTTGTATTGGTTCTCAGTCAGATAAAAATACTCCATAATAGTCGTCGTTATTATTTTTTTGCTCCTAGATTCTTCCTAGCTGAGTTCCCAATTCCTAAATATATGTGGATTTCTAGTAATATTTTGTTACGATTTTTAGTTTAAGTGCATGTGGCCTATATGATTTCAACCCTTTGACATTTATTGAATTTTGCTTTGTGGCTCAGTACATGAGCAAGTTTTGCAAACTTTCCTTGAGTTCTTGCAACGAATATGTTCTCTGCAAATGTCAAGTGCAGTGTTCTATATATGTCTATTAGGCTGATACTGTTAATTGTGCTTTTCAAATGTTCTCTGTCTTTACCAAATTAAAAAAAAAATCTATTTGTTCTGCCAGTTACTATAAGTGTGTTAAAATCTCCTACTAAGAATGGACTTGTCTAGTTCTTAATGTTTGTTGTTATGTTAATTTTTCTTTATATTTGTGACTTTTTCATTACTGAAAAAAATTAGAACTGTCATACTTTCCTAGCGAATAAAAAGTTTCATTCTTGTGACATGAACCTTTATATTTGTAATCATTAAAATCTATTTGTTTGATAATAATAGAGCCAGGCCAATATTTTTATGGTACATTATTTTTCAGCTCTTTTATTTTCAATCTTTTTGTATTTTTATGTTTGTTGAGTAAACATTTTATTTACAAATATTTATTGAAGTATACAGAAAATGCACTAAGCCATACGTATACAGTGTAATGAATTTTCTTAAAGCGAACACCCTCATATCACCAGTACCCAGATCATAAAACAGAACCTGGTCAGCACCCCACAATCTCTCTTCAGGACCCTGTTTAGAGACAGTCAACACTTACAGTTATTTATTATAGTTGTATGCCACAAAATGGAGAGAACTTACAGAAAGTGAGGGAAATATGCTGAGAAAGAACAATTTCAATCATATGATTTCATTTAAAGTAATACATGGTTACATTAAAAAACAATGCATTCCACAAGAAAATGAAAAAACATTTGACCGTCATATGAATTCTGCATAGAGAAGGTTTTTCTGGTTATAACTCTAGGAAAAGACATTACAAAGTGGAAGACTTCTCAATTTGATAATATACAAAATAAAAACTTCCTGACATAAAAATCACCATGAGTAAAGAATTAATGGAGAATATTACCAAGACAAAGAAGACAAATAGATATCATTAATATAAAAAGGCCTGTATAATTCAATAAAACAATCCTCAATAGATAACGAACAGGTGACATGAATAAACAATCAGTGAGATAATTAAATAAATTGGTTAACAGACATGGGGAAATGATTCCCTTACCAATGATCTAAGAAATGGAAATGAAAACAGGGATATCATTTTGGCTGTGATTAGTTACGATGAAGGGGAAAATGTAACATCAAAATCTTAGAGGACGCAGTAAAAAAGGTACTCTCATTTGGGTAGTTTGGCACCATGGATAAAGAGCCCTAAAAATGTTCTACTTAGACATCCTACTTCTGAAAATACTAAAGGTAACAGACTATACATATAAAAATGGGTTCTTGGCTGGGCGTAGTGGCTCATGCCTGTAATCCTAGCACTTTGAGAGGCTGAGGCAAGAGGATTGCTTAAGGCCAGGAGTTTGAGACCAGCCTGGGCAACACAGCAAGAACCCGTCTCTACAAGAAATAAAAGATTAGCTAAGTGTGGTGGTGCATGCTTGTAGTCCCTGCTACAGGGAGGCTGAGACAGGAGGGTCACTTTGGCACAGGAGTTCAAGGCTGCAGTAAACTATGATAGCCACCGCCCTCCAGCCTGGGTGACATAGAGAGACTCTTCCTCAAAGAAAGGGTTCTTTCTGAAATGAGATCATGTCGCTTGCAGGGACATGGATGGAGCTGGAAGTCATTATCCTCAGAAAACTAAGGCAGGAACAAAAAAGCAAGCACCTCATGTTCTCACAAATGGGAGCTGAACAATGGTAACACATGGACACAGGGAGGGGAACAACATACACTGGGGCCTGTTGAGGGGTGGGGTGGTGGGAGGTAGAGCATTAGGAAAAATAGCTAATGTATGCAGGGCTTAATAACTAGGTGATGAGTTGATAGGTGCAGCAAACCACCATGACACACGTTTACCTATGTAACAAACCTGCACATCCTGTACATGTATCCCAGTACTTAAAATAAAAAATAAAGGGGTTTTTTTTTTTTAAGATACTTTCCTTGCATCATTACTTGTAATAGTAAAAATTTAGAAACCTCCTAGTCATCCAAAGATAGTGAAATGTTATGTAAATCATGGACCTTTCTTCTGATATAATCTTAGACAAATGTCTAGGAAGAGTGAATTAATATGAAGACAACGAATGTTACAGGGTAAGTGAAAAAGTATATAAAATTGTACCTATAATATTTTCTCAACAAAGTAAAAGACAAAAACAGTTAGAAAAGGATAGGAGAGAAATGATGTAAAATATAACAGTGGTTGTCTTTAAATGAAGTGATGGTGTTTTCTTCTTTTTCCTACTTTTTTTTTAAAATTTTTAATTTTATGGATACATACTAGTTGTACATATTTATGGGGTAGATGTGATATTTTGATACAAGCCTATGATGTGTAATGATCAAATCGGGGTAACTGGAAGAGCCATCACCTCAAGTGTTTATAATTTCTTTGTGTTAGGAGCATTCCAATTCCACTCTTTTTGTTTTTTTGAAATACACAACAGAGCATTGTTAACTATAGTCACCCTCTTGTGCTACCAAACACTAATCCTATTCTTTCTTTCTAACTGTTTTTCTTTTTTTTGAGACAGAGTCTCCCTCTGTCACCCAGGCTGGAGTGCAGTGGCACAATCTTGGCTCACTGCAACTTCTGCCTCCCGGGTTCAAGTCATTCTCCTGCCTCAGCCTCCTGACTAGCTGGGATTACAGGCATGTGCCACCACACATGCCTAATTTTGTAGGCATACTAATCACATACTAATTTTGTATTTTTAGTAGAGATGGGATTTCACCACGTTGGCCAGGCTGGTCTCGAACTCCTGACCTCAAGTGATCCGCCCACTTTGGCCTCCCAAAGTGCAGGGATTACAGGTGTGAGCCTCTGTGCCCGGCCTCCAACTGTATTTTTGTACCCATTAACCTACCTCTCTTTATTTTCCCCCTCCCCAATACTTTTCTGTGCCTCTGGTAACCATTATTCTACGCTCTAGCTCCATGAACTCAATTTTTCTTAGCTTCCACATATGAATGAGAATATACAATATTTGTCTTTCTGTGCCTGGCTTATTTCACTTAACATAATGTCCAGTTCCATGCATGTTGTTGCAAATGACAAAGTTTCATTTTTATGGTTGAATAACATTCCACTGTGGCTATGTACCACATTTTCTTTATCCATTCATCCACTGATGAACACTTAAGTTGGTTCCAAATCTTGGCTATTGTGTCCTACTGAGTTAGCAGCTCAGTCTATGACTGACAGACTTCACTCAATGACAAGAAATACTGAAAAGATCTGGGAAGGGTCACATACTTCGACTTTCAGGGACTATTTCTAAGTCCAGCTTAGGAAGCACATAGAAACCCACTAGGAGGTTTTTTTTTTCTTTAAGTTCTGGGGTACATGTGCACAACGTGCACCTTTGTTAAATAGGTATACATGTGTTGTGTTGGTTTACTGCACCTATCAACTCAACATTTACATTAGGTATTTCTCCTAATGCTATCCCTCCCACCGCCTCCCATCCCCAACAGGCCCAAGTATGTGATGTTCCCCTCCCTGTGTCCATGTGTTCTCATTGTTCATCTCCCACTTATGAGTGAGTACACGCAGTGTTTGGTTTTCTGTCCTTGTGATATTTTGCTGAGAATGATGGTTTCCAGTTTCATCCATGTCCCTGCAAGGGACATGAACTCATCCTTTTTTATGGCTGAATAGTATTCCAGGGTATATGTGTGCCATATTTTTCTTTATCCATTCTATTATTGATGGACATTTGGGTTGGTTCCAAGTCTTTGCTACTGTGAATAGTGTCACAATAAACATACGTGTGCATGTGTCTTTATGGTAGCATGATTTATAATCCTTTGGGTATATGCCCAGTAATGGGATTGTTGGGTTCAATGGTAGTTCTTGATCCTTTAGAAATCACCACATCATTTTCCACAATGGTTGAACTAATTTACACTCCCATCAACAGTGTAAAGGTGTTCCTATTTCTGAAAACTACTAGGTTTTTAACCTCTCACTATTACAAGTAATGATGCAATGAAATAGTTTCATAAAATTATTATAATGAGTATGTATTGCAGGACATATAAGAAAAATAAATCAGGATTTAAAACTAAAGAATTAAGGGCTTGTCCCAATAACTTACTGTCAGAGTCTTTAGCTCTAATCTCAGTTGGATGACTTGGGACCAGTTCTCTGATCTATTTGTGCCTAGTGTCTTCTAGAACAATTCTGGTTCTGTTAGTCCTACCAAAATGTGTGCCTTTTTGGTTGTTTTCTGCATGTGGAAGTTAATCCCTGTGAGTGAGCTGCTTCCTAAGCTGGACTTGGAAATGGACTTGAAGTATGTGACTCTTCTCAGATCTAGTCAGTATTTTTTCTCATTGAGTGAGGCCTGTCAGTCAGACTGAGCTGCTAACTGTGCTTCCTTCAAGAACCTAAGTTCTATCTGATGTCATTCTTTTGGTGGTTCCCACTCTCTGATATGAATCTGCTTGGGTACCTCTCCCCATTAATTATATCATCCTGTAGGAATTGCTGGCCACTCCATCTCTCCAGGCTGTAGCTCTGTCCCTGGCCAGTGGATCCTATTCCAGTCCTGCCACATCAGGCATTCCTCATTTGTTAAACCTGCCTGTAACACTGAGCATTCATCCTGCCTTGGATTTGAGTTTTTCAAGATTGTAATAGAGAAGTTCAATTAGGAAGGCATTCAGAAGAGCCTGGGCTTCTGCTGTGGGGCAGGACTCTTTATTGAGTAGTGCATTTTCTCAAGCCAAAGAGTCTCCACAAAGCCTCTTTCATGTCCCTCTTCCTCAGGCTATAGACAAAAGAATTCAGCATGGGGGTGACCATTGTGTATACAACGGATGCAATCATTCCAGTATCTGCTAGTAGGAATGAAGGCTGGAAATACACCAGAAACAGGGTTCCATAGAAAAGAGTGATCACTGTCAGGTGACAGCCACAGGTAGAGAAGGCTTTGTGTTTCCCCTCAGCAGAGGAAACTCTGAGGATGGTGTGCACGATGTGGGCATAAGAGACTAGGACACAGATGAGAGGGACAACACCAGAAAGAGTGGCTTCAGTGAACATCATGAAGTGAAAGACCTTGATGTCTGAACAGGCAAGTTTGAGAAGTGGGAAAAGATCACAGAAAAACTGTGGGATGGAATGGGAGGCCCAGAATGAGAATCGAATGATCAGGAGAATGAATGAGAAAACCTGGAGGTGGGAGCAGAGTCAGGACATGGCCGCCAGCAGCAGGCAGGCTTGGGGATGCATGATCATGTAGTGCAGAGGAAGGCGGATGGCCACGTAGCGATCATACGCCATCATGGCCAGCAGGAAGTTATCTAGCAGGGCTAGTGTCATGAAGAAGTGCATCTGCATGAGGCACCCAGTATAGGAGATGGTGTGATGTTGTGTCTGGATATTCACCAGCACCTTGGGGACAATGGTGCAGATCAAACAGATATTGATGAAGGACAGATTTGCCGGGAAGAAGTACATGGGGTGTGGAGACAAGGGTCAGAACCAATGGCTTGAAGGATGAGCAGGTTCCTTAACACAGTGACCAGGTACATGCCCAAGAAGAGCCCAAACAGGAGAGGCTGCTGCTCTGGGTGCTCAGAGAAGTCCAGGAGCAGGAAGTTAGAGATGCTGGTCTCTTTTTCTTTTTTTTCTTTTTTGAGACAAGTCTCTCTCTGTTGCCAGGCTGGAGTGCAGTGGTGTGATCTCAGCTCACTGCAACCTCTGCCTCCCGGATTCAAGCAATTCTCCTGCCTCAGCTTCCCGAGTAGCTGGGACTACAGGTGGATGCCACCATGCCCAGCTAATTTTTGTATTTTTAGTAGAGACGGGGTTTCACCATGTTGGCCAGGCTGGTCTTGATGTCTTGACCTTGTGATCCACCCACCTCAGCCTACAAAAGTGCTGGGATTACAGGTGTGAGCCACTGCGCCCAGCTGAGATGCTGGTTTCATTTCTAATTTCTGTTTAAAGTAGAATAGTTGGAGAAAAATCGTCCTCAAACATAGACTCCAAACATTTACATAACTCTAGGCTGTTTGTTTTCTGTGATCTTCTCAAAGAGCAAAGACATGTATTGGTGTCAGGCACGTAAACCTACATAAAGGCAAGAACCCTGGACAATGATAATACGAGATCTTTTTGGGGGTGATTTTTGAATTTTAGTAATCTAGCAATGTGTCCTGTAGACCTCCTGGATGAGGCTAAACTGGAGATCAGATGGAAAGACATTTCTAAATCTTAGTCTCCCTTCTTCATTCCCCACCCTTTTAAAATAGGAAAGCTATTCTATAGGTTTTTCATAGGTTTCAATTTTACAGTTTTTTCAAATTTGAGTAAAATATCTTGGGAATATGCATTTACTAGAAACTTATGAAGCAGACATGTGTTTTGTGTGTCTATGTGTGTTGGGGGAGAAGGGGTAACAATGTACTCTGGTTATAGCTGAGACTCAGGTATTCTTGGCATATTGGTAGTATCTACCCTCTTGATCTTTTGAAGAACCTTCAGCGGAACTAGCATGGATAAAATAACTATAAACTCACAATAATTTAAAAATAAAAGATCCTGTCATAATTATCAACAGCATTATCAACGTCATCATTCATTAAGAGTGTTGGGTTTGGTGTCTTACAAGACTAGAGGGAAACCCTATCTTTCCTAGCTGTGTAATCCTCTACAACCAACACATTTTCTTATCCTCTTTGAGCTTCCAATTTCCTGATCTGTAAATGATGTACATATTTTGTATTGTTGTAGATAATGAGATCACATATCCAAAGTGCTAATACAGAGTAGGCTTTCAATAAATTGTATAATAGTTATTAGTATTATTGGTAATAGTAGATAAAATGAAACCTGGAGTTTCTGATGTACTGAAAATGTTAGATGACATGCCTCCCAGCTCTAAACCTCAATTAGCTTTTATATTTTGGGCAAATGATTTTTTTTTTCTGAGCTTCATTTTCTTCCTTTTGTAAGCTGTGGACATAAACCTACCATAAGGGGCTGCTGAAAGCATCAAAATTCTGGAATCAGTTGCAGACTTTTTCAGGCCCTATGATATAAAATCCAACACAAGAGATTCTAATTTGTGCAACTGGATAGTGAACAGGCATTGCCAGCATGTGCTAACGTCATACTCTTGGATATGGTGAGCAAACACATTCCCTCTGGGTCTGATAAACTTTCATTGGGCCACCAGCTTATGGGCTGTGACACTGAACAAGTTGCCCAATCTTTCTGGTTTCACTTTCTGCATCTACTTGAAGAGGTAATAACAATGCCTAACTCATAAAGTTGTTGTGAGGATTAAATTAGATAGGGATTGTGCAGAACTAGAACAATGACTAGTTCATATCCAATGCTCATAAAATATTAGCTTTTGTTGATAGTCTTGTTTCTCTTGGTAGAGTTAAGAAAATGAGAGCACTTTCTGCAGGTGATCAATTAGTCCTTCGTGTTTGCTCAGAACTTTCCTGCTTTTAAAATAGAAAGTCCCACTTGTGGGGAACCCCTCAGTTCTTGGAAAACTGGAATAACTTGTCACCATATATGTCACTTTTCATGATCACCATCCGTGGGAAGCTGGGGTTTGAAAACAGTTAACTTTAATAAGGAGTTGTAACTGTCATTATCACAATATCATCCTCATGACTTTTGGGTGGTGATGGCTCTGACGTAGTAGTAAAATAATGAAGCAGCCACTTTGGCTTGTACTGACTCAGGTTTGAGTTCCATCTATACCATCTTGGTCAAGTAATTTAACTTTTCAGAGTATCAATTGCAAAATGAACCTAAATAAATCTACCTCAAATGATTCTGAGGCTCTACAAAATACATTTGCTGAAGCTTTATAAAATATCTTTTGTTGATTTTTGGATTTCAGGATTGCAATTAAGAGAATGTGGACTTACATTTCACTGTGGTATATGTCACAATGTATTTATCCATACTAATGTTGATGGACTTTTGGGTTTGTTGTATGATGTTCGCCATTATGTTTTTAAAAAATGTTTAGTATCCAAAGTGGAACTTCTTTGCAGATAAAAAGGCATAAGTGATAGTCAAATAAATATGCCTGACCTTTTCAACTGTTTATTTCTTTTTAAAAATATCTTCTCACCAGGCACGGTGGGTCACTCCTGTAATCCTAGCACTTTGGGAGGATCCTCGTGCCAAGGTGGGAGGATCGCTTGAGCTCAGGAGTTCGAGAATAGCCTGGGTGACATAGTGAAACCATGTCTCTACAAAAATACAAAAAAAAGTATCTTCTGCATGCAAGTTGGAGAAAAATTTTGAGACCACAATTTTCTAATGAGAACATCTCCATAACAACTATCATTTATCTTCCTTTGTTCAGTTATTGATATTTTAGCAATAGCCTAAGATTTCTTATTTCAGTAGAAATGACTGGAAAACTGGGATTTTGTAACCCATTTCTTTTATATTAAGTTAAATTAGATTACTTTTATAGGTGAGAGAGTAAAATCACAATAAATAAAACCAGAGCATCATGTTTGTTCCATTTTAATTTCTTCCATAAACATTCCTGTAGTCTTCTGATGTACCTGCTCAAGTTTCTCTGTGGTATGTCACAAGGAGTAGAATTGGTCACTGAGTCATTGATTAGTGGATTAGCTCAGGTCTTCTGAGGACCAAAACGAGACTAGATGTGTGTATTAGTCAGAGTTCTCCAGAGAAACAAGGCCAATAGGATATATCTGTATATCTATATATATAGCTATATAGATAGATACAGAGAAAGCTATTTATTTATTTATTTTTAAAATTTATTTATTATTATTATACTTTAAGTTGTAGGGTACATGTGCATAACGTGCAGGTTTGTTACATATGTATACTTGTGCCATGTTGGTGTGCTGCACCCATCAACTCATCATTTACATCAGGTATAACTCCCAATGCAATCCCTCCCCCCTCCCCCCTCTCCATGATAGGCCCCGGTGTGTGATGTTCCCCTTCCTGAGTCCAAGTGATCTCATTGTTCAGTTCCCACCTATGAGTGAGAACATGCGGTGTTTGGTTTTCTGTTCTTGTGATAGTTTGCTAAGAATGATGGTTTCCAGCTGCATCCATGTCCCTACAAAGGACACAAACTCATCCTTTTTTATGGCTGCATAGTATTCCATGGTGTATATGTGCCACATTTTCTTAATCCAATCTGTCACTGATGGACATTTGGGTTGATTATGAGGGATTGGCTGATGTGATTACAGAGGCTGAGAATTCCCATGGCTTACCATCTGCAACCTGGAGGCCCAGGAGAGCTGGTTGTGTAGTCATCCAAGCCCAAAGACCTGAGAATCAGGAGACATAATGGTAAAGTCCCAGTTTGAGTCTGAAGACCTGAGAGCCAAGAGTGCTGATGTCCAAAGGCATGAGAAGATGGATATCACAGCTCAAGAATAGAGAGTGAGTTCATCTTTCCTCTGCCATTTTGTTCTACTTAGGCCCTCAGCAGATTGTGTGATACCCAGCCACATTGGTGAGGAGTATCTTATTTACTCTGTCTACTTATTTAAATGCTAATCTCTTCTGGAAAACACCCTCACAAACATAGTCAGAAATAATGTTTTATCAGCTCTCTGGGCATCCCTTAGCCCAGTCAAGTTGACACATAAAATTAGCCATCATAGTGGCAAGAGAATTAGTGGAAGAAATCCTTCAGACTCAGTCTGAGACCTGTGGGAAAAAAGAGAGAAGGAAGGAGGATTGGGGTAGGAAGAGACTGCAACATTGTACCAGGGGCCAGGAGTGGTGGCTCACGCCTGTAATCCCAGCACTTTGGGAGGCTGAAGTGGGTGTATCACTTGAGGCCAGGAGTTCAAGACCAGTCTGGTCAACATGGCAAAACCTCATCTCTACAAAAAATACAAAAATTAGCTGGGCATAGTGGTGCACGACTGTAGTCCCAGACACTTGGGAGACAGAGACAGAATTGTTTGAATCCGGGAGGTGGGGATTGCGGTAAGCCGAGATCGTGCCACTGCACTCCAGCCCAGGCAACAGAGTGAGACTCTGTCTCAAAACAAACAAACAAACCAAACAAAAACAACAAAAACAAAAAAAACAAACAAAAAAACCCCCAAGGTACCAGGAAAAGTTTGATCATTGGAGGATCCTAGAATGAAAGTTATTCATCAGAAGTGTCCTATATTTCTCTGGAATGGGCCTGTCCTGGTACCTCTGCAATGCCCAGTCATTGGCTAGGAGCAGTCTATATAAACATGGCTTTGGCACAATGGTGGTGATGGCCCAGGTGGGGACAGTAGCTGGGGTCATTATGCTTTCATCACAGGAGATCTTAGTGGTATGTTTTCATGGCTACCAGTTTCTACCCTTTGCATAGCACAGATTCAATTCTCCACACATGTATGGTGAAGAGATCTTCCATGGTTTCCATGGGCCCCTCTTCCATAGAGGAAACACAGAAGAGGACGATTAGTGGGATGAACTATAGCTCCCTTTGCACAGTTTGTCTTGAGGGTGAAACTTGTACTTATCCTCACTCTTACTCACTCTGCATTCTAAACTCCTAACCCTCAGCTCTCATCTTGGTACATCTGGGGGGCTTATGCACTATTATGA